CTCTGAACTGATTGAGAACATGATCATCACGCAGCGGTCATCAGGCTTCGTTGACAGGGTGATCATGATATGGCACATTGAGCTTGAAGGCGTGGGGCGCCCGTGCAGCCTGAGCCAGAGAGACATTTTCACGGGCGCTTATTGCCATGAGAGCAGGCTGGAGGGCGTAGAGAAAAACGCCCCCAGGCCATTGAACCCCCTTCCCACCTTGGCGTTCGGGAAAACGGTTGCTCCAGCATTTGTCCTCTCTTGTTGGGCGGGCTCGATGATGCCGTTTTTTGGTCCAGCGAATCTCGGGGCCACCTTGCAAGACAGAGGATGCTGGGGCACTTTTGTAGGAATTTTGCAACGGCGATCGACATATTCTCCGCCGAGGGCGCTGCTCGCCATCTCCTCCTTCATCTCGCCGCGTTCGTAGGAAGATTGCGCCACGCGGCCATGTGGATATAACTATATATATGTGTTTGTATGTATGTATATATATATATATATATATATATATACATATGTTGATGCTTGTTCACATGCCATTGTTCTCTGGAAGGGCGTCACGTGAGGGCCGCTTCTCTCCGTGAACATCCTGGCTTCAAGCACAAATCCAGCCCCTCTGTCTCCCTATGCTCAGCGCAATCGCCCCTTATCTCGGATGCCCGTCCCAGGATGGGCCGGAGTCGCACCATGGTGGTCAACCAGGTGCTCCTGTGGGTGTGGGTGCAGCATGCCGGCGTGCCGCGCCTGCTGGGGCGTTTGCAGCCATCGGCAACGCATCCGACTGCGCCGCTCCGGCTCCTCCTCGCGACGCCCCAGTCCGACGTGTACGACGAGGACTGCGCGGGCACTAGCTCGGACATCCATGGTTCGGAGTTCCTCGCCGGGCCCGTTGTGGGCACGCTTGTGGCTGCTGGTTCTGAGGTCGCTCGTGGCGCGCTGGTGGCTGTTGCCCCGGGAGTCGCGGCGGCCCTCCTTGGTGGCCCGGCCGCTGCGGTGCCAGACAAGTGGGTCACGGTCAAGAGCCTGGTCTTCAGCGCCCGCGGGGTGGTGGTCCAGCTCCCGGCCAACGCGCAGATCTCTGAGGACCTTGCCGTCTACTCCCCTCCTGATCATGGCGCGGTGTTCCCTCATCGAGATCAGGGATGATCCCTGATCTCGATGAGGGAGTCTTCAAGTCTCTGGAAGCTGTTCACGATCCTCGCAACCCGACGCAGGCCCACCATTCTGACCA